ATAGACAAAATGGAGTAAGATTTTTTCTGTCACAGACACGTCTTTGATTTATGACCTTTCAGGAATACTGCCCCTGGTCCCAAGAGGAAACATTTCCTGTTCAGATACTCTTTTTAAGAGGGCACTGAGGACTTATCCTTTCCACATAGCAGACCTGCAGAATTTTGTAGTATCAACATTGCCAAAATGACTTGCATGCTCAAGAAACCACTACATACTGATTGTATGCTTATGGCAATAAATGTTAGTATTTAACCTGCCACAGCTGAGTACACCTATAACCATCATGAAAAAACAACTCGTCATGATGACTATGGCTATAGGCATCACAACATGCTAGAGCAAGTTGAGCAGGAAGTTCCACTACACATAGTGGACTCCCCAGCCAAATGGCTGGACAATTGCCAGGAGTCACCGGAATGTGTGACATTCATAACTGTACAGCTGTGGCAAAGGGTGAGATTGTCTAATAATTCAGCCCTCCAGCTCATCAAGGAGAACTACTCTGTGCAAAAGTTTCTTGCCAGTATGATCCCAGGTACAATTACTAAAGAGTAAAGTACTTGGAATATTTCATAATTTAGGTATCATTCACCGGTTTTGGTGGATCTAGGGGCTTACACTTCCTCCCCTAGAGCCATACAAAATGTTGAAGCTTAGGATTACCATATTGCTGCTGTACTATCAAATTCAGAAATAATTACTTCCTTCATGATAGAGAAAAGAATGGGCACAAAATATTGCTCTTATAGTACCCATTTTTTCTCCAGCCCCTATTCTTGTTGAGGGCTGGCAAGTGAGCAAGTTTTAGGTTTATTTCTCTTTTTTTTTCATATATGTTTACATTTCCTTGGTAAGAATTAAGGCAGTAAAGATAAAGCTTATGTAATGAAGCAAGTTATTGCACCATTAAATGATGCAGTTTTTGTCTAAAAGTCAAACACTGTATCAGTTTCTTAATTTCTGTAACCTTTCTTATCTACAGGAGATCAGAGACAAATGGGCCAGACACCACCCTTTAGATTGCATGGTGAAGGTATTGGAGGAGAAATGCGAGGCCCAGGTTCTGATGGCCGAGGTCCAGGCAGTCTCCGATCTAGTGCCCAATCATCACCAAGCAGACAACCTCTACAACGACAGCAGAAATCTCCTAGTCCAACCAGACAGACATCAGTCTCTCATGCCCCAGTCGCTGCTCCCCCACCAGATGACATGGAACCTCAAAACGTTTCGTTTATTGAATCTGAAGACCACCCACAAGAGGATCCTAGTGAAAGATTTAAGAGATTATCTATAACATCAGGTAGTAAGACTTATCGCATCAGCCATGAACCAGGGTCACCAACAAGACCAAGTTTAGGAGTCAAGACTTTCAGAGTTCCAACAAAGAAAGGCACCCCTGTTTATGACGATGTTGACCTACCCCAACCCACCCCACCGCAACGTTCCATTACACCACCCTATCAAGACACCTATAGGCATGGAGAGGAGGAGGAGGACCTTTATTCTATCAAAACTGAACCACTAGATGGACCTAAACCAGAGAAAGGATTCTATATATCCTTTGATAGTGACAGTGCCCCAAGAAAACCTAAGCCGCAGTTAAGAACAAAGAAGATGTCCCGAAAAAATTCCAGTCCTTCAACGCCAGCTTCTACCCCAAGCAGAGAAGAGCTTCCAGTTGTTCCAGTGAGTAGTTCAGGCCAATATATTTTTTACATGATGCTTTGTCACTAAATGTGATATAATTTAACTGCTTCTGTATCATAGTCACATTTTGTGGTTGAAGAGCAAACCTTAGCTGAATACATTTTTTATGTTTATAAACGTCTCACTAAGGCTTTGAATGTTTTGTAGTGCATCTTCTAATAATGTTTATCCTGGTTTTGAGGCACCATATTATTTTGAATATTTGTGTATGTTAATGCATGTTGCGTGTGCTCATTATCCAGGACCGACCAAGTCGGACCTCCAATGGTTCGTTTGGCAGCATGAGCCAAAGCCCAAGCATGGCCCCAAAGTCCCCCTCCCCAAGTAGCTATCCAGCAACATCGACGATTGGCAGCCTTTCACCCCAAACCAATGGTCTCTTCCATAATTCACCTTTGGTGACCGAGCAGGAGAACCTGCATGAGTCCCATACTCAGCTACCTCTTGAAGATATGAACACTTATGGCAGTAAGAAACAACTAAAAGAATCCACTGCTGGCATGGCATTAGTTATTGGAGATGACATAGCTAATAATGAAAGTGTGAGTACCGGATCACTAGTGAAGGTTTCCAAAGGTTTATATATTTTGTTTTTACTGTTAGCAATAGTTTAATCATTTCCATCTTTAATATTGCACCACCAATACCATTCTTCAATGCTAAGATCATCACCGTAAGTTCATTTCAAGTACATCTATTTTTCAATTTTGTGCTTTCCAAGGTGGTTCCTGTTAATTTCACATTTTATAGGCTTCTTTCAGATTCACAAATTTTCACCATCAGCCATAGA